CCCCATCGGCGCTGCCGGGGGCGGCGTCCGCTCGTCTCGCTTCGCCGCCAATTACGGCGCTTCGGTTGCCATCTGTGAGCTTCCTTTCTCCACCATATCTTCCGATACCACCGGAGGAGTCGGCGGAACGTGAGTTTTTCTGGTTTTCTCTGTTTTTCAATTTTGTTTTGTTAAGCTAGGGTTTGTCGCTGTGGAGGCTGGAAAACTGTGTTTTGTGTGAATATTAATTCGTAGGGTTCACGCTGACTATGCTTTCTCAACAAGTTACAGTGTGAGATATGTAATTGGCCTTTTAATGCAACGTAATCATCGTATTTATGCTAGCGTAAGAAGGAGCGAGTTCAGATGCTGGTTTTTCATATGAATAAATGCTCATAGGTTTCTGGTTACTTGTGTTTTCGTTTTCGGTTTTCTCTTTTTAATTACGAAATTGCCACCATGTTATAAATATGCTATGGAAAATAAGTGATAATTTTTAATGAAAAAGTGAAAACAGGAGATGAAATCAGGAAATGGAAACTCAAATATAAGTAAATGGACCCTTAGACTTTTCGATTGTTTATTTTTCCTGTATTAGTTCCTTCTCACTCTTTCGTTCATTGATCATGCTATTTAGTTTTTAACCCTTTCTAATAGCACCTTATAATATAACTTTTCCTTTTGTTTTTTTCCTTGCAGGTGTGTAATACGAGGATGCGTGCCAAAGAAGTTGCTGGTTTATGCGTCAAAATTTTCTCATGAATTTGAAGAAAGTAATGGTTTTGGATGGAGGTATGACAGTGAGCCCAAGCATGATTGGAGTAGTTTGATAGCTAATAAAAATGCTGAGTTGCAACGTCTTACTGGCATCTACAAGAATATTTTGAATAATTCTGGTGTCAAGCTGATTGAAGGCCATGGAAAGGTAGGAGGATGCTTTCGATCCTTTTCCGAGTAGTTAATAGCTTTCTAAATATTAATTAAAGGATAACGTTTTTCTTTTGTGGTGATAATGCTTTTGGAACCCACAGATTATAGATCCTCACACGGTTGATGTCAATGGGAAGCTATATTCAGCCAAACACATTTTAGTTGCTGTTGGAGGTCGCCCCTTCATTCCTGACATTCCTGGAAAGGAATATGCAATAGATTCAGATGCTTCCCTAGATTTAGCATCAAAACCTGAGAAAATAGCTATTGTTGGTGGTGGTTACATTGCCTTGGAGTTTGCTGGTATCTTTAGTGGTTTGAAAAGCGAGGTTCATGTATTTATACGGCAAAAGAAGGTTTTACGGGGATTTGATGAAGAGGTATGCAACCATGGATGATACTAATGTTGTTACAGCTTTATAAACTTTCTCTAATTCTAATTGTGAACTATGACTGCAGATTAGAGATTTTGTTGCAGAACAGATGTCTCTGAGAGGTATTGAATTCCATACTGAGGAGTCTCCCCAAGCTATTACGAAGTCAGCTGATGGCTCATTCTCTTTAAAGACCAACAAAGGTACAGTGGATGGTTTCTCACATATTATGTTTGCTACGGGACGCAGACCTAATACTAAGGTATTATTTTCAATTATATTTTTTTACTTCTCTCTATTTACCTGTTTGAAATTTTTATGCTTAGAAAATGATTTAGCGGTGAGGCCTTTGATTGTCCTTACCAATAGTGACTTTAAATTGGAAAGCTATGTTAACAATTTACATTATTGAATAGAAGTAGTTTTTTAAGTGTTGTCCTATTTATTCTATTTGTGCTAATATTTTCCTTAAGTACACTTTCACATAAAATGTCTATAGTCAAAGATTGCAAATTCAGTTTCGTGCTTAATTTCTTTGAATAATCCTATGCTGTTGCTGCCAATTTCTCTATTTATCGAAGGTTGGGAACTTTTGAACTCTGGTGTATTTACTCATGCTTCTTAGATTGTTTGGTTTCCTTAAGGGTTGCATGTGTTTTTAATTTTTTTCGTTAAGTTTTTCCTTTTACAAACATCTTATTTTAATACATGGAACAGAAAGCGATAAAAACATAGTGCATATATTTATGAATTGCAACTTCACCACTGCAGAACCTAGGGCTGGAGTCCGTCGGTGTGAAATTGGCTAAAGATGGAGCAATAGAGGTAGTTCAAGCTTATCATTGGTTTTGTGTAATATATATTCATATGATCTATGTCTCTCTTGTACTTCCTAATACACTTCTCAAACCCAGGTTGATGAATACTCTCAAACATCAGTTCCTTCAATTTGGGCAGTTGGAGATGTCACAAACAGGATAAATCTCACCCCTGTTGCTTTGATGGAGGGAGGGGCATTAGTAAAAACGCTGTTTCAAGATAACCCAACAAAACCTGATTATAGGTATTATATACATAATGCACCAATGAACTATTATATAGTTGTAACCTTTTAAGATAATTTTTTTTAAACTTTTTAATGTAAGTTCATTGCCTGCTTCTTATATATGCATTAAGCTTGGAGTACATGTGTTTCTTAAACATAATATCATTGATAATCAATTGATGAAAAAAACTAATAGGCAGAAAAGTTATCCTGTGATAATAAGGATTGCTTATAAGGTTTTATGAAGTTTATTATTATTTTTGTTTCGTACCTATTAAAATAACCTTGTCATTTATTGCAATTCAATCCTGGGTTGATCATTATAACAGCAGCTTGTTTGATGTTAAAAATGCAATGGAAACTCCAGGTGGCTGGACTACAAATTTTTTAGCTTCAGAAAACATTTCATCAAGATGTCAATTTTGCCAGTTATAGTATAATAATCTTAATAATATGATAAGAGAGTCCATATTCTACTATTCTAAATCAGTAAATCTTCGAGATTTCTTGTTATGTTGCTAGAAACTCATCTTAAAGATTGGAAGAAATTCATATATAGCCTTAAATGGTGAAATCAGTGACTGTTGTGGGGCTGACAAATTTATTTCATCAAATTGTTTCACATAGAAAATCATTATAAAAATCTAACCTTTGAATTATATATCTATTATGCTAATTAGGGGTATAAACGGGTATGGATAAGCCATGAATCCAATCAACCAACCCAACTCAATTACATTTTAGTGGGTTGGGTTGGGCCATTGGTTCGATTTGAGTTCATTGGCTAATCCAACTGTAGTTGATTGGGTATCTGGTTGATGAATTCAAGACCCATTTAACTCAACCTAACCCAAGGTACATATAATATTAAATTGGACAAGCATTCAAGTTAAAGGTGTCTATCTGCAAGCCATTACAAACATTTTGCATAGTGTACCCAGTCATTTTGATTGTGGTCTAATTGTGCATGTTTGTTGTTTAGCTAGTTTTTTTGCATATTTGAATGTCTTGATTTTGAATGAGTTGAATTAATTGAAACTGTATACTTCATTTTTATTTGTGATTGTGTAATTGTGATTAAGTGCTACAACTACTTGTTAGGTTCTAAGTACATGCTGAGTTTACTATGATCAATATCATGTTTGTCTTTTTTTTTTATTTTTTTTTTATAGAATTTTAGCTATTATCTTTTATTTAATCTTTCTTATTGTATTTGTTTGTTTTTGTCTTTTTTTCATTCTATTTTTTATTTTTTGAATTTCTCAAATATAATAATAATTTAATCAGCCATCTTAACTACCCAACCCAATTACATTTCATTGGTTGGGATGGGTGTTAAAATAGACCAAACCCAATCCAACCCAACCCAACCCAATTACACCCCTAATACCTTGTATTCTAAACATTACAATTTTGAAATATTTTTATGTGCTTCAAAAGCACTTTGTTCATTGATCTTTGATGATAAAAAAAAGTAATTGACAACAAATCTTGACTCATTTGTGTGATGGAAGTAATGTCACCATTGTTTCTTGAAAGGTCAAACTTCATTGGTTTGCTTCAACTTATTTGTAAGTATTGAGAACAGAGTTTAGTAGTTCAGCAGAGGTGGAGAAATGAAAAATTTTAATGGAAGGCTAAGACTTTGAAACTTTAGTTTTTGATATAGCCCAATGGTTTGATTAATCAATGTATGTATGTGGCTAATCTTACCTTGTGGGGCTTGATGTTGACTGCCAAGCAAATTATCTATTTTATCATGAGAAATGTTAGTAACATTATATTCTTTGATATTGACCGGTGGCATTGTTGATTGCTAAGAGATCAATATTTTAACACGAGGAATGTCAGCAGCAGTGAAATACACTTTTCAACACACTCCATTATTGGGTGAAATTCCATATAGATTTCATTAAATATCTTCGGCCTACTCTCCATTAGTGGGACCCACATAGGATTTTCACCCAATAATGAATAATAAAGTGCTGAAAAGTGTTGGTGTCTTGCTAGTACATAATCTCTTTAATCATTTATTAGTATTTGGTGCACATATTTATGCATTAGCTTTCTGTTTCCCTAATGTTAACAATCACTCATTCCTGAACATGGCCATAATATTGGTTGGTAGGTTATACTCTGCTGTGTTTTAGTAATTCATAGCCTCCTAACTGTTTATGTTACATTCCTCATTATCTAGAGCTGTTCCTTCCGCTGTATTTTCTCAACCACCAATTGGACAAGTTGGTCTTACTGAGGAACAGGTGAGAGCATTATGCTGTGTCTGATTCTAATGCATTAGTCTTTTGAATATTTTAATGAATTGTGCAGATTAATGTTTTACTAACATTTTGGTGATTTGTGCAGGCTGTACAACAATATGGAGATATTGACATCTACACTGCAAATTTTAGGCCGCTTAAGGCTACTCTCTCTGGGCTTCCTGACCGAACTTTTATGAAATTAGTAGTCTGTGCAAAAACAAATGAAGTTATAGGTTTGCACGTGTGTGGAGAAGATGCTCCTGAAATTGTTCAGGTTTTTAGATTTGCTACAGCTGCTTTGTATTGCTTTGATAATGATACACAAGTTTTCAATTCACTTGATATACATTTGCTTGATACCCAGGGGTTTGCTGTCGCTATTAAAGCTCGCTTGACCAAGGATGACTTTGATGCCACTGTAGGCATTCACCCAAGTGCAGCAGAGGAATTTGTTACCATGAGGACTCCCACCAGAAAGATTCGAAAGAGTGAATCTTCGGAGGTAAGTCCATGATTCTCAGCTTGTCATTCATTGATATCTTGTGCATAAAATCCTGCATTTTGATCAGTGTATACTTTGATGATTTAAGCGATAACAAATACATCCAGTGTCCGTACTTTGAATCTGAGAATTGAAGGGCACTGAATTTATTGAAAAAATAACAAAATATAACATAGCTGCAACTGCTCTGTGCTTGCCATGAATGCTTGACTCTGTCTATCAAATCAACAGCCTGTCTTTTGTATTTCCCCACCTAGGTCTAGCAATGTGACCCTTAGGACCTGTTTGATTCAAAGGAGAAGAGAAGAGGGATTAGAAATTTTGTTTAGTTGAGAGGGGGGGAGGGGGGCAATTTTAATGGAGAAGAGAGAGCTCTTTTTTTGTTTGGTTCATGAGGATAGGGGAATAATTTTAAAAACCAATTTACCTTTATATCCTTATAATTCTGAATTTACAAACACAAGGATATTTTAGACATTATACTAAATATGTTTTAAATCCCTCTAACCAACCACTATTTTAAATTCATTTGGGCTGAATGTCTGTAATTTTCATTATTAATGATGCGTCCACTTATTCTTGTTTCTTGTTTCGTACTGTTAGTTCTGTAAATTTGTATATTAAACTTGCCTGAGTAATGGTTGTTCTGTTTAATATACTAGGGAAAGTCGGGCTCTGAAGTAAAAACTGCAGCAGGGGTTTAGCAATATTACTCAGCTTTAATTGTTATAGTTGAAGAAACCAGCCAGTGCCTCAAGGTAAGGATGGAATTCTATTTTCTTAAAAGAATACAATTTTTACTTGGGCACAATTTGCGCTTAATTTCTTATGTTGACTAAGGACTTCAAAGTTGTAATATATCAGAAGATACTAATATCTTGTGCGCTAGTGCTATTCATTTATATAGATAATACACCTGATACTCTGCACTCTGCATAAAAAAGGATAAAAGAAAATACAATTTTAACCCTGTTGTCTAGGACACCAATTTGTATTAAGAGGCTTGTTTATTACTACCTTTGGTCCTAATTATAAGTAATATATGTCAAATCATCAAGACCAAGAAAAGTAATTAATATTTTTATTTTTAATAAATTCTATCATAAATTAATCAATGAATTGCATATAAGAAATTTAACTGAGTAGCTTTTAAAACTAATGATTGTTACTTATAATTAGATCCAAAGAAAAATCCAATTTGTTCTTATAAATCAGACCCGTCCATTTGCATGTTTAATCGTAGCTGTTGAGTGTTTCTATTGTTCTGCTTGAGCACAGAGCATTGTGTCCATTCTTGAATGAAACTTTTTTCTCCCCACCCCCTTTATCCCTTCGTTATTTTTTTCTTTTCTTTTCATCTGTTTACGTAGATAACACTGATTATGAAATTTAGTTAATATCAATGTGTTATAACAAAATTATTTTCAATCTCATTTATAATATGTAAAATATTTAAGAATTCGGTATAGATTAGGCATACTTAAAAAAATAGCAAATAATTTTATCCCGAACTTCTTAATGGATAGGTAAAAATAAATATCTGCTATAAGTGGATAGATAAAGAGAAATGGAGTATTGTGTTTGCCTGATTGTATGAAAGAAACCCTTAGCTCATGAAGCAGGAAAGAAGTTATTTGGGGCTGGGTAAATATTATATTCATCTCTGCAACATGTTTGCATTCTCTGCCCTCACATTATTAATTGTGCTGTTCTAATGTTAAAAGTGCCATGTCACATGTGGACCAATAAAATTACTATGATGTAATTTCATAACTGACAGGTTAGGTGTCTTTTCTCTGATGTTTAACCAAGCAGGTTATATCTGAAATTAAATTAGTGTGGATGTCAAGTTGTTGGGAAGAAATTCTGAAGGATCTGCAGCAACTGAGTTTTCAGGACAATACATGGAATATGCCGTTGAGGACGCCAGTAATGGTTCTCTAGTCTTGCAATGTAATTATTACAGTTGGGATCCTGGAAAAGGCGAGTGGAATTTTGGGTACCATTATTTGCCATCTGTAATTTAACTCATTTACCATTTCCAATCCTTTCATGTACAAAAATAAGAGGGAAATCCATGAGGGAGTTTGATTTTAAATAATCTGTGTCGAATGTGAAGTAGCTGGAATTGAGACAAAAAATAATAATAATAATAATAATAATGTCAGCATGTCATTTTTGTTTTCTATTACTATCACATTTTCTTTACTATTAATGTTGTACCTTTTTTTTTCCCCAAAACAATTAATATTTTAGAAATTTAAAAATTATTTTATTTTTTCAATTATATTCTTATCTAACAACTATGATAAGTAATTATTGTAATTAGTAATAAGATATTAGACACGTACACTTAGTTCGAATGTAATAACATTTTGAATTTATTAAATGTTTTAATATATGTGCAATAATTTTTAACATCAAGGTGTGTCATAGTTGGGTAGATAATCTTGTACTTTAAGCATGTAGTTAGGGATATAATTCTTGATTGGTGTATACGAAAAAACATTTATTATAAGTTATTTCTTTAAATAATCTAAGTACTTTGAAGGATGTTCTTAGTTTTCGGCAAGGGGATTAACATTGTTTCTTAGTGTTCATGCCATTGCAAGTCACACTTCATGCAAGCCAACCAAAGTGTGCAAATTAGTATTATATAAGTGTCGCGTCAAAATATTTTGGTATAGAAGACTGTGTTTATAAAATTATAGTGATTATTTAAGGTAAGAACATTCAAAACATTCAAAGTTGTAATCTAGCCATGAAATCCTAAAAATTCCCTTATATATACTAGTGTTGAATTGGGTATCGATGTAACTATTTAATTAGCCTAAGACTATTGTTTGCTAATGGAGCTGAATTTTAGTGTGAGGGTACACGGTTGATTGTAGACTTAAATGACACATAATTACAAAGAGAATCGCGATCATTTAATTAGCCTATGGTTATCGCTTGATGTTTGAGCTAAATCTCAATGTGAGGGCATAGGGTTGGCTATAGATTTAGATGACACAATTGTGAAGAGAAATCATGACCGAGCTGAACTCCAACGTGAGGGTACACAATCGACTATAGACTTAGATGACACACAATTACAAAGAGAAATAGCAACTATTTAATTAGCTTATGGTTATCTTTTGTTGATCGAGCTAAATCCCAGTGTGAGGGCACACGGATACTATAAACTTAGATATTACACAATTGTTAAGAGAAGTTGTAACTATTTAATTGGCCTATGATTATCATTTACTAACCGAGTTGAATCCAAATATAAAGGCACAGGTTCGCTATATACTTAAATAAAACACTATTGCAAAGAGAAATCAATCGACCATAAACCTAAATTACACAAAAATCACCTCTCTTGTACTTAGTTTCCACCCAAAAATTCGCGCCACCGAATACCAGTATATTTGTAGATCTAACCGCTTACAGAAAAGCTTATTATACATTTGCAATAATCAATTATCAATATATATTACTATTAACTTTAGGCACATTTAATGGTTGAGGGACCAGACCAGAGTTTTTATCTTGGTCCCACTAGCTGGCCCATGCAGGTTCTATACATTTTTGTCCAATAACATTAACATAGAGTCTTGTTGAGTCTCCACCTCCATTCAAATATCAGATGAAGCCAGACCTAATTGTCTGAGGTGGTGATGCATATCTTCAGGGTGATCATCAAGCTTTGGTCGCTCAGGCTGCATCCAGCGTCCATCATTGCTCCTGATCATGCCCTTGTTCTCATCTTGCCTCCAGTTTGGTGGAATCATGTAATGGTCTTTCAGGAAATCACATCCCTTGTTCACCAGAGCAGGATCTCTTCCACTCGCTAGCACGAATCTTTCACCCTTTCCGTGGTATCTGCATGCAAAATCTTTTTAATTAGCCCACTTGCACTTTTCGTATTAATTTGGCATTTCAAAACTCCACTGATTAATAATTATTCGCAACTTGGTAACAACGTATTAGAGGTCATCGATGGATAGCTATATGCCAGCAAAATTAACTAGCCTTTGTTTTATTAGACATATCACTTTCTAATGTCATTATTATATTAACAGACGAACTTTCTATATCATTTTATTTTATTCATCATTTGACTAACTTGATGTAGGAGAGTACGTCTTTAATTTCGTTGGTTTGACCAGAGAATATATACTATTTATAATTGATTTAATTATCATCTGTGGCACGAATGCAATTAAATGTAAAGGGGGAAATGTTTACCTACCAAGTACCAAGTAGTTACTGTAGTATGAACACTGAGGTAATTAAATAAATTACATGTGGATGCCAAGAACTAGCTATTAGGACTTGTACTCGGTAGTATGTATGAACCCCTAGAAAAAGTTCTTGAATAATGAAATCCCATGCCACCACCTAATAATTTATGATGCATTGTCCCGTTCTTATCTAATATCTATCATGTATATATCTATTATATTTTCACTGTATATGTCTAGGATGAGCTCATAAAATGTTGGAGAACTATGTGTGATTAATTAATTAAAATATTGACTTCTTATATAATAATAATAACCATATATCTCTATCCCTTTCCATCCACGAAATGACTCTTTTTTATACGTGTAACTACTAACTAGCATTATGGAATCAGTAGAGCATATCACGATGAGCTGTATGCTTAAAATAATCGATGCATGCTATAATCTATCCCTTTCTCGCCTAATAGCGACAAAAGTTACAACTAATAGTTTATTATTTATTTAAAAAAATAAATAAATAATATGGGCTGCTTTATTGAGTTGGGTTGATACGATTGCAAACTATATATACTCACGGTACCATTGCATGTCGAACCGACAACAAAAGTTTTGAATACGCATAGTTTGGTCCAATTTTTGGATAAAAAGTACCAAAATAAAAATAGTTATTAAAGTAATATCAAATCTTAACTAATGTCATAGTGTAACATCAAGTCTAAGCTAATTCAATATTTTGCGTTTAGGTTTAAATTTTTATTTTAATTTATATGACTTTCAAAAATATAAATTGAGAATTAAGCAAATAAGTTAATACTATATGAAATCTAATAACTAATTGGGTTATAACGAACAGTTGAAAATGACATTTATATACATTGCTATAAGTAATGAAGTAACAAAAAATCACAAATAATATGATAATTTCATTACAAACTTCTTATAAAAAGAGGTGCATTAATTATAAATTATCCGTAGTTATCAATCATGCATTGTTAATATAAAGAAAATATGATTTAACATGACTAAAAAAATGTTAACACATAAATTATTGTTATCAAAATTGAATGATCATTAACTTAAGTTGAGATAATGAGATTCTATATAATGGGTATACAAGAAAAATCAACAAAAGTATAAGATGTGGTTTGTTTCACAATAGAAATTAAAAACTAAACTAAACCGCGGTACAAATGTGTTTCTTTTTTTCTTTTCTGTTTTTGGTTTGATCAATTTTCTTATTAGTTTGGTAGTTTTAAGCTATTTGAAATTATAAACCTTATTATATATATACATGACGACAGTTTTGAGCCATACGCAGATCTCTAATTGGATTATATATATACGTGACTCACATGATTCTCATGATCCCCATATCATTATATATATTTAGAAAATAGGAACTTCTTCACACCAATCATTTAGATCAAGTACAGGAAAATTTTATTTATTTAAATTTTGGGGAGCAATTTTCCGAACACCGTGCTCAGAAATTAATAATATTCCACAAAGATTTGAATCTTCGGACAAATGGAACGCGACGTTTCATGTCTAATTAGGTAGATTACTTAATGAAATTAAAAGGATCACAACAATTAGACGCTAATGTTTCAACTAATCGAAAAAGAGTTTAAATGAGATTGAGTTGCACTATAGTGCTACTCCCAACAAATAAAAGAATTTTTATAAAAAGATTCTTATAATCAAAGACATGGATATCGTTATTATTCAAATCTTAAAAGGGTTGAACCCATTAGACTCGGCTACAAGTATGAATGGATAAATGACAACTATATGAATAATTTGTAATCGACTTACGGTTCTAACTTACCTTATTAAAATAAGTTTAAATAATCTCACAATAAATATTGAGAGAAAAAAAACATGCATGACCTTATTTTTCAACGCACGAGAAGAAATTAAGTTATTCTAAATCACATGTTATCGAAGTGGTTCATAGATTACATTAATTGGGAGTTTGGGTCATAAACAGATATTTTTTGTATGATGAGTTGATTAACATTTATAATAATTAATTTATAAGACTTACTTTTTACTAATGTACATAACCCTAAGCCAAGAAGAACTATTTTTTTTTATGGGAATTGCTATGGTACCTTCAAAGATTCAATACATTTTTCTATGTAAACTCATAAAAAATTTTAAAAAAAATAATTTAATTATAAAATGAATAATCTAAATTATACTTATAAAATAAAAAAATAAGATAAAATTATAGAGATTAAAATTATAAGATTTCAATAATATTATAAAATATTAAAAAAAGAAAAAAATTAATAAATAGTAGAAATAAAAAATTATTAAAATTACAATATAGAAATTTAAAAATTTAAGACAAACAGACAAAAA